TAGGAGAGGCTTCTAGCAGAACTTGGAACTTTAGCCAAGATTTGAAGGAAACCAGGTAAATGAGGAGATAGAGATGAAGAGGGCTTGAGGGCCAGCCAGTGAATATATTTGGAGTCAGAAGATGGGGTGCAGGAAACAGCAAGGAGGCTGGCAGCAGTACATTACAGTTAATATGGAGAGGAATAAGGTGTAAGAAGAATGGAAAGGTAGAAAGAGGCCAGGTTATGAAAGGCTTTAAAAGCCACATGGTACCTCCTATTTCATCCTGGAGAGATAATAGAGAGGGAGCCTCTGGAGTTTATTGACTGGGAGAGATGATTTGGTCAGACCTGCCTATATTAATACAGCTAGTAGATGTTTAAGGCAGAATTTGAACCCAGGTCTTCTGACTCCAAATTCAGTAACTTATGCCATTAGTTCTTTCTGTATATTTATTATCTTCACAGAAATTGAAGTTTCAATAAAATAAATATCTCATTTGAACATCAAATAGGTTAGCTTTTGAGTTAGTTACTTTCTTCGAGGGTCTGTAATTTATTAGTGTTCCTTTCGTCAACAGAACCCCTCTTAAACTTAGCATATTTTTTTCTTTTTTTGAAAATTGCCATAACCAAAAATTTTGTCACTTTGTGGCCAGCCTGGTGATGTGTGCCTCTCAACTTACCTGATGCTCCTACTGTTGATATTTATTAAATTCCTCAACTCATACTCAGTTTTTCTAGTTTAGAAAAAAATATACCAGAACTTTTTCTTTCCTTTCATAGCCTTTGAGAATCTTAGATCATGGAGAAACTTTTGAGTTAGTAAATGTGTATTTCAATGGTTGTTCACATAATATCTTTGATACAATATTCATTTTTATGGAATGTCATTTTGGCTCATTCTGAGGAACAGTTTGATTAGCAAAGATTTCATAAAAATGGAATCTGTTTTAGAAATTTCCTTAATTTTCAGATTTGAGCACTGGTTCACATCACTGTCATCATAATCATCAAAGACTCTAATGGTGTATAGTCAACAAATACATGGTATGTTTTTCAAGGAAAATTAGTTTTTATCTTCAAAAGTCAATTCATCTTTTAAAGTACGGTGATAAACCTCCTTCCTCTTATTGCCCCATTCCATATGCATCAGGGTATTTAGGAATAAAATTTTCCTTAGGTGGTTTTAATAAAATAAATAGTTGAAAGGGACTTCAGTTGGTTACTATTCTGCTTTGTATCTGCTTTTAAATTCTCTCTACACCACCTCAGACAAGTAATCATCCAGCCTTCATTTGAAGACTTCTGGTAAAGGGAAACTCACTACCTTCTGAGCTAACCAGTTCCACTTTGTGGTATATCTAGCTGACAGGAAGTTTTCCCTTACATTCAGGCTGTATCTGCCTCTCTGAATTTCTGTCCATTAAGTTCTGTCTCTCTGCTTTTCAAAGCTAATATTTTTTAGTTTCACGTGTTTTACATGATTTTCTTAGTACAATTTTCTCTCTGCATAAACTAAAATATAATTTATTTAGAGTGAGTGGGTTTTATAAAGGCACATTCATTTTGGTTAGGTTTCTGGAAAAACCTTAGCAGAAGGCAGTCACAATTTAAAAGACCTCCTTAAAAGTGTTTCCTAGACCCTGTATAGAAGCCAATCAGAATTTCTGCCCTGCTAGGTTTACAATCTATGTTCATATCTCTTGTATTGTTGACTACAGTATTGTTTTATAGCCCACATATTAACAATTGTTACTTTGTAATATCTGGTTATGATATCATCTCAGTCATTCATCTTAGACATTCATTTTTCGTGGTGTGTTTTGTTTGCAGATACCAGCATTGTTAGATTAGTCAAAGTCTCCTTATCACTGTTCTCAGTATCTGCTAGCCATGTTTCTGGGAAAAAGGGATGGAGGAGAGATCTTTTTCTGCAAAGCTCATAGGAAGAAAAAAATAGAGTAGCAGAGGAAGAGAGTTAAAAGATTGGGCAACATGCTCTTAAAATTTTCCTATTTTAGATGCCCACAGGTTTCTCAGTGTTTAGTTTTATTTGGATCATTTTTAGAGAACTTCTTGTTATAAGGGAAAAGTAGAAAAGCTATCTTTTATACTGTTATTAAAACAAGATCATTGAGAATTTATTTTCTATGAAAGTAGCCCAAAATATCCTTAATAGAAATTATCTTCTGTCACATCATCTTGGTATGAAGGTGCCTTTGGGTTCTCAAAAATGCTGCCAATGAGTGCAAATCCTAACCAGTTCTTTCAAGCTTAAAAAGCCCCAAGTACAAGCCCGGTGATAGATAATATCTTCTATCCAAAAATTAATATCCCTAAATACAAAAATATGTATTATCTAAAGGTTTGCTCTTGAGCAACAATTTTTTAAGCCCTTTCAAACAGTGTGAAATAGACAGAAATACAAATTGGCCTTCAGTTCCATAAGGCCTCTTTCTGCTTCCACAGTTGCAGTGGTAGAGAAGTGGAAGCAGAAATGGGGATCAAGTGTGCTTAAAATCACAAATTGTATTCTGTGAATATAACCATTACAGCTATTGATGTAACCTTTTTCTAATAACCCAAAAGTGGCTTACTGAAAGAATAGAACCAATTTTATATTGACATTATGTTTTTTTCTTTTTTAGCTTTTATTTAGTATTTTATTTTCCCCCAGTTACATGTAAAGACAATTTTTAACATTCATTTTTAAAACTTTGAGATCCAAATTCTCCCTGCTCCTCTCATTCTCCTCCCATCATTGAGAAGGCAAGTAATTCGATATAGGTTATATATGTGTAGTCATGCAAAATATTTCTACAATAGTTATGTTGTAAAAGAAAACAGACAAAAAAAACTTAAGAAAAATAAAGAAAGTAAAAGAAAAAGCGTGCTTCAACCTGTATTCAGACATCATCAATTCTTTCTCTAGGGATGGATAGCATTTTTCATAAGTCCTTCAGAGTTGTCTTGGAACATTGTATTACTGAGAATAGCTAAGTATTGACATTATTGTTATAAATAATCTTAGAGAATTGTCTGTAGTAACTAATTTCAAAGCCAACTTGCAATCCACTGTGCCAGGCTGTTCTCAGTACTCCCCTGGAAACTCTCTAAAACTCTTAAGTTTCAGAGCAGTTGCTAATCTGCCTTGGTAGATGGTGTTTCCCCTCAGGTAGTTCACTACACCAGTGGAATCCCATCCTTAGACTCCCCAAAATGTTTTTTTTTGTTTGTTTTGAATGAAAACATAAAATAGGAGGTTTCAGGTTAAAGGGGAAAAGTTCCTAGGCTTTCTTCAGAAAAATGATGAGTTGGCAGAATTGTTTCACTGTGAACTTAACATCACATACATTGTATATATACCTGGTATTTCCAGTATATACCTGGTCATTTCCCCATGCCATTTTCAAAATAAGCATAAATAACAACACTACTTGAAGATGATTGCAGCTTTTGCACCAACATCAATTGCATAAGTAAATTCTATGAAAAATTTGGCAGGATCCTCTGAACTGTTAACATATATTTTGAATTCATTTAAAAGTGAGCACAAAATATGACAAAGCTGTAAAATATGGTTTGTAGTTAAGAATAAAGAGGGGCCAAAAGCATATAAACTATTCAGAAGTATCACATCTCTATATCTTAAGTACTTTATTCACAAAATTTGGAAAGCATTGAAACCATGGCCTAATAACCTATTTTTTGTTTATTTTTAAAAATTTATTATTTACTTCTAATTAACAGGCATTTATTTTCTTTCCTTCCTGCTTCCCCTTCCCAGTTTAACAACAAAAGAAAAAGAAAATCCTCATAAAAATATTCATGGTAAAACAAATTCCCACATTAGCTTTCTTAAAAGTGAGATCATTTCACTGTCCAGTGCAGTCAAAGAAATAACTATATAATGATGTTAAGGACAACTTTCACCCTGAAGCCAACTGGAAGAACATTTTAAGCAAAATAAGAAAAGAAAATCTCTTCCATATAATTAATACTCTAACTTCTCTATTAAGGCACCTTTTAAGTTCATGCTTTAGGTGCAGTTATCTGTTCACATGATCATTTTTTATTTTGGTTTTAGTATTGTTGAATGCATGCCAAAAATGAAGCTAGTTTACTGAATTCTGCTCTGAATCAAGTAATATTGTAGTTAGTTGAACACTGAAATGCACTAGGGATAGTGGATAGAGAGTCTGATGAAAATTATCAAGCACCATATTCTGGTCCTACCTCTGATACAATTCTGGTGGTGTGACCCCAGACAAGCTAGTTAACTTCTCAAGTCCCTCAGGCAGCTTTCTAAGACTACAAGAACAGCTGCTGATTTTCATTGATAAAGGGAGTATCCTAATCCAGGAGTTCTCTAATACCTTTGAAATCACAAACCATTTTTGTTTGTTTTGTGTTGAAATCACAAACCATTTTATAATACTTTTGAAATCTAAACCATTTTTTAATGGTGTTCATTTGTTTTCAGTATTGGCTTAGTGCTCATGAATCATACCATACTTTAAAAAATAAAGTTGCAGTGTTGAAAGATCTATTCAGAAGAATATTAAACCAGAGGGTACTACTATTTTACAACCTTAGAATTTCCCCCAGGATATGGGTTTGTCTTATATTTCTGATCTACTCCCTTTCCAGATGGTTTTCAATCTGGATAAATTATAAGACACTGGGGAGGTTCAGGGTCTGTTTAAGTGGCTGTTCCAGGTTAGACTTAAGATTGGAAAATTATGTGACGCCTAGCATAAACCTTAGAACTAGCCTCATTTTTTCTAACAGATTGAAGAAAAGTGTTTCCCCTTTGAACCATATAATATTAATTTCCTGTTATGGAGTAGTTAGGTTTGTTTTCATTTGAACTAAAAGTTATTTTCTTCAATTTCTGTGAGTTAGATTTGAATTCCTTTTGTTGTTCCCTCTCCTACCATTTTTTTTTCATTTTATGAATATCCTATATGGCTACCAAGCTAATTATCATTGTCCCTTATTTTCCTTTTGTTTACACAGATCCAATGCCCCATTTGCCAATTTGTCTGGTGTTTTAAGTGCCACTCACCCTGGCATGAAGGTGTTAACTGCAAAGAGTACAAAAAGGGAGACAAGTTATTACGTCACTGGGCCAGTGAAATTGAACATGGTCAGAGGAATGCCCAGAAGTGTCCAAAGTGCAAGGTGAGTTAACCAACAACAGGAGAGAGATGAAATGAATAGAACATATGAATTACATTATTTTTACAGTTGTAAAGAAGTTCATTTGTACTTAGCCCAGTGCCTGGTGTATAGTAGGCACTTAACAAATATTTATTAATTGAATCAATGAAAATCAATAAAATCAAAATCAATAAAATAAAATCATAATAAAAATCAATAAATATGCTAGCTCAAAAAGAGGTTGTAATAAATTGAGTGCTTTTTTGAAAAAGAGAAAATCTACTTCAAAAACAAGTAATATCAATTAAAAAGTAGAATTTTATTAAAGGAATAAGTTTGATATTTTTGATGAGCTAACATATAGCTCTCCTAAAATATATTTCATTTAAAATAATTTTACACTGTACAAGGTTTATTTAAGCAAATAAGAAGATACATGTATTTTTCTTCTTTTGTATTAATGTAGATTTTATGGAGGACATAATTAAATATTAATGTATCAGATTAAGAATTAAGGAAATACACATTTTCTACTTTTCTAAAATGTTGAAATCCTGTATAGAATATCTTTAATGTATATTAAGAGTTAGAATGATGAAAGTAAGGATTCTTAATATGCAAAATGCATTTTTTGCACACTTAATTCTCAATTATTCATATACTGGTTATCTAGCTATTGAGTACTTCATAGTCTTTGCCCCATTTCTCCCTTCTGTTGCCTACCATCTATCAAAAGGAGAAGAAAAGAAATTGTTCCCTATTTGTATTAGTTAGCAGCTGTCATAAAAGTTTTTTTGAGGGGAAGAAGAGAATAGCCCAAACTAAGTAATCCCTCTTTTTACATAATATCAGATGAGATATTACTTATATAAATTTTCCATGGCCCTTTCTTGAAAATATCCATATTTATCATGAATAGAAGCAGTCAAGTAGAACTATAGAATTTGCTACCAGAGTTGTAGTAGTGGATAAGTAACCTGACATAAGCTCAGGTATACTGTGAAGTATTTCTGATTAATGTTGGAAATACATGGGCTCAAATCAGTGGATTACTCAACAGTAAAAAATAATGCTTGTTGAAGGAATATATAAATGTAAAAAACAAAGCAAAAAAACACTTACTGTCCATAATGTTTTCTAACTTGTTTCCATAACACTGATTTTTTCACTCAAATAAGGTGATCCTGAGTTTTATTCACTATTATATTACTACCTTATATGTGATGCTGTTTTAGTGATGTATGGCAAACTAGAAAACATTTAAATTAATTTTGATGTTTAATTAGGGATAAGTGGTTTGAACTCTGTAGCTACCATTTCATATTAGCCATTTGACTAATGAGTCAAATTCACCATCAAAAATGGAAAGTCATATAATTTATGCGTATTATTTTGCAGTGTGCAAATGGTATAATGCATTCCAAAAATATTCCCAGAAATCATCTTGTTGGAATCCCAGTGTGTTCCTATTTAGAACTCTGTGTTAACCTAAGTAGTAATAGAATATTTTATATAAATCACATTTCAGCACAGTAGAGATTGTACATATGAACAGGAATTGCTTCATGTTTGCAGTGTAGCATTTGGAAGATGGAATCCAATAACTTTTGATCTATAGCAAAGATGAAAATAAAAGTTCATATCCTATAATTCTATAAGACTCATTGAGGGAGACAAAATGTAATTACCCAAATATGTTATTACCAAAGTTTTAATACTGGTCACTTGAGGCAACATTTGCCTGACAATGAACAAATATTTTATGAATAATTCAATGGGTATAGATATCCAAATTTGGGGTGAAGTGGTCACTCTTTTTCATGTGCCTATTTAGTCATTGATCATGGCCAACTTTGCAAAACTAAATATCATGGACTATAATAACTATTGATCAAAAATTCAGAGGTAGTCAGATCTTAATGAACTTTGGACTAACCTTCAGGTTAGACTAGATAGTATAAAAGAAGGTTAGGATACCTTTTTTCTGTCAAGGGTCAATGAAGCTCAGAAAAACAAAATTAAGGTCCACATACAATTTTTTAAAATTGGAGTTTTATGAGTAAAGAAATAGGAAAAGTAGAAATAGGTTTAACAGGCATAAAAAGCTTCCTTTTAAAGAGGAAGAATTAACTAAATAGAGCTGGGGCTCTGAGGCTAGAAATCATTGCTCATACCTGAATCTCTACTAGGGCAATTCTTCACCCCCAATATTGTCTGATGAACTGAATTTGTCTGAAGGCTTTGCTTGATGTGTTGCTTCTGCCAACTTTGAATTTTGCCCTCCTGATTTCCACTTCTTTAATTTCGTTTCAACTTCTTTGCCCTTCGTTATCCCTAAACTTAACTACCTCCTACATGAGAGCTCTTCTGTGATTCATGTCCTGCCCAACTTGTACTGTCTTCTGTGCCAGTCTGAAATACTGCCTGGGATGAATTATTATTGCCTGAGCCTGCCCTGTTAATGCTCCAAACTAACAGCCTGGTTCTTTGTACTAATTCCTGATAGCTAAGAAGAAACACAGACAAAAGGAGAAAGATAAAAATGGGAGCAGAAAATGAAAAAGGTTTCCATAGGAGGATAGGGTAGAATTTTTATGGAAAATTCAGTTAAAACATAAAGAACACGCAGATAAATAAAAAGTGAAGATACTAAAATTAGAATGGAGAATGAGTACTGAAATATCCAAAAGATTACACATTTCTCCAAATCAGTATTTCTAGACAAAGGAAATTTAACCAGCATCTGAACAAATATAGAATGCTGTGGCTTCCCAAGAGAGTATGGGACCACAAGAAGTTCCAGAATGGTTCCAAAGGGAAATGAAAATCTTAAGAAAAAAGTTAGAAGGAATGTTGCAAAATTTATTGAGTCTATTACAGGAATAATCATTAGAATGGAGTCTTTTGCAAAGATAATTAGTAGAATAGGAAAACTTGACTCTTCAGTGTCAGATCTCTCCAAAAAAGTGAGACAACAACAGATGTGGAATACCAATATCTGTATTGAAAACAGAAATGAAGTACAATCTGGAAAAAGAGAAGCAAGAGGCAATAAAGTTTAAAAAAGAACACATGATTTCTAAACAAGTAAAAGCCATTGATCTCAAAGATAGACTGTGTATAAAGAATCAATTATTTACCAGAGCATAACACACTGAAAAAGCTGAACATGATAGTGCAACAAATAATAAAAGGAAACTGCTCAGAACTAAATACAGAAAACAGAGCACAACTTGAAAAATCTATAGATAACCTCTAGGAGTGAGGAGGTGGGGTGGGGAGAAGAACCTAAGCTTTAAGACACATAATAGCTAAACTTAATGGTTCCAATGAGAATCAACAAATTCTGTAATAAACCAGGAAAGAAAAATTCAAATATAAAGGAAAGGAAAATCAAATAATGCAAGGCTAATCTGCATTTACTAGAAACCTCTGAAGGAAATGGAAAAAATATATTTCAAAACACAAAGGAGCTCAAAATGTAACCCAAAATGACAAATCCTGAAAACCTGAAGCTCAATTTTAAAGAGGTGGATATTAAAGAGAGACATTTGAAACATTAGGAAGGGGTAGGGGGAACAGATTGAGCAGATTATTTGACTGCAAACACCCCAAACAAAAGAAATATAAGAAAGGTAAATGAATACGACTACCAAGGAAAGAGTGAGTAATGAAACAAATCATAGCTAGAAATTTAAAAAAAGAAATGACCAGAAAGAGAAACAAGCCAATTACATTTATATAGAAAAAAAACCTAGAGGGACCATTGGGAGATTTCTTTTTAAAGTACACAAACAGATAAAGATAAAGTTAAGTTTTAAAAGTTAGAGAAATAGTGGTAGAGAAGCAAGCCCACAGCATCAAGGGCTAAATCTTGCAACCCTCCTACACATGAATCATTCTGATATGTTATGTAATTGTAGAATGGGAGGGTACATAAATGGGGAAAGGAGACATGTAAGATAAAGGGAAACGTTTGATGTATTGTAATCAAGTCCACAGGCAACAAAGGGAAGATTCAATTACAAAATATTAGCTGGAGAATTATTTAGGCTTATGGCTACACTGTGCAAATATAATAAAAATGACAATAGTACAAATGTTAATGTACAGTTTTAATGCTACACCAATGAAGGTACCAAGCAATACTTTATGGATGTAGATAAAATAATAACAAAATTCATTTAACTAAACAAAAGATCTACAGAATTAAAGGAACATCTAAAGATCTATGACATTAAGGGAAATAATGAAGGACACTGTGAAGGGTGAATACCACTTCCAGATTTCAAACTATATTATAAAAAAATGTTAAGCAAAACCTTTTGGTAGTGGTTTAAAAAGTTAAAAGATAATCAGATTATCTGTGTCTTTCACAGTTATGGATAAAAGATGAATTCTTAACCAAAATATAGAGGCAATTATGAAAAAATAAAATGAATAATTTTAATCACATGAAATTGAAACTCTTTTAGACAAATAAAATTAATACATATAGAAGGAAGCAGTTGACAGGGAAAACAATCTTTGGATCAGATTTCTTGGATCTATCTATAGACATAGTATGTGTGTATAAATATACACATATATATGATATACAATATATAGACAACTATCAGAAATAAAAATAAAAGCCATTCCCAATAGATAAATGACTAAAGGATATGAACATTTCTTAAAAGATGAATTGCAGACTCTTAATCATGTGAAAAAATGGTCCACATCACTAGTAATAAGAAAAATATAAATCCAAATAACTGGAGAGAACAAAGATAGATGGAAAGATGCTAGACTAAACCAAATTGTACACAGAAGAGTGCTGCTACCTGCAGTTCAGCTATTAAGATGCTGTGGGATTGAGTCAATAAGATATTTAAGGAAGGAAAGATACCAAATACATGGAAACCTCTCAAATCTTATTAATACCCCCCAAAAAAGTAACTGACATAATAGCAACAGCCAAACACTACGTGCCTAATTTCCGATTTGTATAAAGTTTTTATGAGAATTACCTAGACATG